AAATTTCCAGTAAATTTTGGAAATATTCCAGAATTTTTTTTAACTTTCCAGGGATTTTTTTTTTAATATTCCAGGGATTTTCCACCCCTTTGCAACCCTAACAGAAATATTAAAAAATATTTTCTCGATTATAGTACTATAACATTTTAGTAAACTAAAACTATTAATAATCATTTTCAGTAATTGACAAAGCTGAAATAAAATACAAATATTAGATACAAATATTAAACTTAAAAATTAGAAATGCTGCCTTGGCAACTAACTGAAATAAAATGAGTTGAAGCTGAAATACTAAAATGACTAAAGCTAAAACTGAATTTAAAAAATGAATTAAAGCTAGACAGAATTTTTTGTTTTTAAATATACAACAGCACATAAAAAATTACTAAAACATCACCTAAAATGAAACCGAAAACTTTGAATATCAGAACAAAAGCAAAGTTAAAAATATGAATAAATGATACTAAAATAACACTTGCTTTAAAGCTTAAGTCTATGGAAAACCACTGAAACTTTGAACGGCCAAAGTGCAGCGTCTCTAAGTCTCTGTAACAGTGCGGCAGATTCGCACCAAATTCGGGGGATCCCTTCAGCTCAAGGAACCCTCTCGAACGCGAATTGAGTGTACGTCTCGAGGCCCTCTTTCGAATGAGACCACACGCGTCGATAGCCCCCGGGGTTCGGGAGTTACGGGCGGTTAAATTCGCGGTCCGACTCCGACCGATCTAGCGATCCCGGGCTACCGATGCACGGAGGGCGGCGGCTACCGATGCACGGAGGGTGGCGTTCGAGAGGGCTCCTCGAGCTGAAGGGATCCCCCGAATTTGGTGGAGATCTGCCAGCGCGTTCGCAAGATAGTGACACCAGCCAAACACTTTGACTTCAGTAAGGAGGTCTCTTGTTCAGGCAGCAGCATTCACGCATTGTCTTATTCGACCGTAAATGCCCTGCGAAGTGGACTTCACATGATATTCCGCCATGATTCCAGTTCCAAGGGAACGTACACGTTACATTAAAAGGGCATTAAAGTGCGCGAGACGTGAATTTATATTTATTTACAGAGGTATATTATGTCACACTTCACACTTCTCTAGTAAGTTTTGTCTGAGTGTGAAGACAGTAGCGCAAATCCATGAACGAATGTTCCAAAGTGAAATAAACTTAAATGGAATAAAGTTGAATGGAATTTAATTGAATTAAAGTTGAATAAACTTCAACTTTACTGTTCAGTGCACTGATGTCAGACTCATTTTGAATAAAGTTTATTGTTAAATTGTTAAATGCCCTGCCTCCATCATTACACGTCTTTGTCACATCATTATAAGTGTTTGATCACCATATTTGAGTGATTTATGTATATATATTCTGTTTATGTATATACTGTATTCTATATATAGTACCAGTCAAATGTTTGGACACACGAATGAGAAAGTGTCCAAATTTTTGACTGGTACTGTACTATAATATGCACAAAGAATATCGGCCGATATATCGATATCTGCCTTTTTTTACTCCCTAATATCGGTATCGGCCCAAAAAAAAACCCATATCGGTCAGGCTCTAGAAGTAACTACAACTAAACCTAAAAAACTTTCCAGTAAATTTTGGAAATATTCCAGAAATTTTTTTAACTTTCCAGGATTTTTTTTGGAATATTCCAGGGATTTTCCACCCCTTTGCAACCCTAACAGAAATATTTAAAAATATTTTCTCGATTATAGTACTATAACATTTTAGTAAACTAAAACTATTAATAATCATTTTCAGTAATTGACAAAGCTGAAATAAAATACAAATATTAGATACAAATATTAAACTTAAAAATTAGAAATGCTGCCTTGGCAACTAACTGAAATAAAATGAGTTGAAGCTGAAATACTAAAATGACTAAAGCTAAAACTGAATTTAAAAAATGAATTAAAGCTAGACAGAATTTTTTGTTTTTAAATATACAACAGCACATAAAAAATTACTAAAACATCACCTAAAATGAAACCGAAAACTTTGAATATCAGAACAAAAGCAAAGTTAAAAATATGAATAAATGATACTAAAATAACACTGGATCTTTGTCACTTCTAATCGGTGTCTCAATGATTATAATAAATGAATTTATTACAGCTGGTAAAAAACGTTGTTTATAACCAGGGTTATTATTGGTTAACTAAAACCAAAACCAGAACCATGAAAAAAATCATTAATTAAAATAAAAATCAACATTACCTGTAATGAAACCAAAACGTTAAATCAACATTAACTGAAATAAAATACAATATAAAAATTATATATAAAAAGCACTACAATAACTAAAACTAAAAACTTAAACCTAATAAAAAAAACAGTAGACATATTTAAAAAAAAATAAAAAAAATAAAAATAAATAAATATATATATATATATATATATATATATATATATATATATAAAATAATAAA